GGAGTCAGATCACCAAGTGACTCGCAGTGACTCGCAGTGACTCACAGTAACTCACAGTAACTCACAGTGAGTCACAGTAACTCACAGTGACTCGCAGTGACTCACAGTGACTCACAGTGACTCACAGTAAGTCACAGTAACTCACAGTGAGTCACAGTAACTCGCAGTGACTCGCAGTGACTCACAGTGACTCGCAGTGACTCGCAGTGAGTCTCAGTAACTCACAGTGACTCGCAGTGACTCACAGTGACTCACAGTAACTCACAGTAAGTCACAGTAACTCACAGTGACTCGCAGTGACTCACAGTAACTCACAGTGACTCACAGTGACTCGCAGTGACTCGCAGTGAGTCTCAGTAACTCACAGTGACTCGCAGTGACTCACAGTAACTCACAGTAACTCACAGTGAGTCACAGTAACTCGCAGTGACTCGCAGTGACTCACAGTGACTCACAGTGACTCGCAGTGACTCGCAGTGAGTCTCAGTAACTCAGTGACTCACAGTGACTCACAGTAACTCACAGTGACTCGCAGTGACTCACAGTAACTCAGTGACTCGCAGTGACTCGCAGTGACTCACAGTGACTCGCAGTGACTCACAGTGAGTCTCAGTAACTCAGTGACTCGCAGTGACTCACAGTGAGTCTCAGTAACTCACAGTGACTCGCAGTGACTCACAGTAACTCAGTGACTCGCAGTGACTCGCAGTGACTCACAGTGAGTCTCAGTAACTCACAGTGACTCGTTCAGCTGATGTTCCAACAGTAACTCTAGACTAACCTTCTGTTTCTACTGTGAAGTCTGAAGAAGAGCTTTCTTAAAGTTAACTCCAGCTTGTACTAGGATGCTTTTATTGTGAAACTCTTTGACACAGAAACAGGAAGTTGTTCCTGTTTAAATCTAGGCTTCTAGTTTCTTTGACTGTTGTTCAGAGGATCTTTGTCTCTTTCAGATGAACCACTGAACAACGTTTTGTTCTCCGTCTACTAAACTAAATACAATCTCTTTCAGTGTTTCAGCCCTTTAACCTGAGAGCTTTGTCTAAACTGTAATGCACCTGTTAGTGGAGGTGACTCACTGATAATAACCGTCTACAGGACCATCATCTACCTGTCCGTCGTCTACGTGATCGGCCATGTGGTGAAGTCGGTCGGAGCCATTCCCACTGTGGGAAACAGCAACGTGCACATGTGAGTTATCTGGATGATTCAGCCGCTTAGACAGGTTCAGGTCAGTTTTACAGATGTCTGAGGTACTTGTACTCCTACTCCACAACATATCACAGAGAACTGTACTACATTTATCTGACAGCTGCAGTATATAGATTCCTGAACACAAATGAAAATACAGCTGAAATAAGCAGTCGATTAATGCAATTTATTGGCAATAATTTAGTTATTTTTCATGTAAAACCATGTGTTGTTCAAGCTGTAATAATGTTCTAAATGTTCATCTGGTTTGGACTAAGCAAACATTGTTAAAGTGTCACTTTGGACGTCATTTCTCACTATTTTTTACTATTTTTGGAAATAATAAAAATACCTCTCAATACAAATAAATGTTTTACTTTGAAGAAACTGTGTATTTGTTTTATAAATGACTTAAATTATAAAGAGATGAATGAAATGAATCACTACCAGTTCTTCAGATGATCCCAGTGTATTGATGCTGTGTTGTTGGACTGATCAGTGTATAGATTAATACTTTCACATCCTCATACGTTCACATGGTTCCGTCAGCAGCAGCTCTCTCTGTTCTCTGCAGCTCTCTGTCCATGTTGGGTCTGATTCTCATCGCCTTCGGCACCGGAGGAATCAAACCCTGCGTGGCGGCTTTTGGTGGAGACCAGTTTGACGAGGAGCATGTGAGTAACTTCCTCAACACAGTCAGAGCGTGAATGAAGTCTTTAAAGTACTATTAGTAGGATTATGATTGGGTCATTAAGTACACTCATTACAAGGGTTCTGTATTTACAATGTTGAATTGTGAAAACAAACTGCATTAATATCTTTATTATGTGAAGAAACAAGAGATTTGACAGCAAAACCTTCCACATTAATTCATAAAAAAAAAGTTTTATTTCATTGAAAATAAATTTGTGATTCAGAAATGTATTAATATTAATCAAAAAGTCCAAAAGTTTATCTTGATTTGTATTAATACATTATAAATCACAAACTTGAAATGAGATACCTTTTGATTGTGTGTAACTCAAACCAATCAATAACTGTTTATTCATTATTTATGGACTGAAAGAGTTCATTTTTCATTCAGTGTTCATCCAAAGATGAGCCGTGACCAGACATCCAGTGAACAAGCCTAGTAATAAATAAGTGTTTGGGTTCAAGTCATGTTTCAGTTTAGAGGGTATGATCTAAATAGTGTTTCATATTTATTCTCATTACTGTCGACCAGAGATCTTCCTCGTTGTCAGTGTTTTGGTAACTTTAGTTCAGTTTGATGAACTCTTGAGTAAAGAGGTAAAGATGAGACCTTTTCCTCTACCTTGTGTTAAATGTAAGAATAAATAACTGACCTGTTTAGTTAGATCACACAAAGTAACTCAGACATTCTTTCATGTGTCGATGTTGAAAGAAGCTCTTTTTAACTGGTCTTTGTGGTTTGATGACTCGTGCCGGGTTTTAGTGACAGTTAGTGAGACTGAATCAGAGCTCAGAGGAGAGTGAACATCAGACTTACATCATCAGGTCAAACATCAAACAACAAACAACAATGCAGCTTTACTTTAGTACGGTTACAGAGACGGCTAAAACCTCTCACAAATATGCAGTTATCACTCTGACGGCCCGCGATGAGTATTAATGTGATCTCTCATCAGAAAGCTACGGTTCTTGTAATTCGATTTCTGCAAACCATTTCAAGATACAATAACAACAGCAGGCACAGTTAACGTCTCTGTCAAACAAGCACTCCAAAAATACCGATAAAATATCGCCGTGACTCACCGATTATGATCCATAACGTCCCCCTCGTGCATGCTAGTCCAGCAAAAACGGTCTTGCTAGGTGGTAAGGGTCCACTCGATCGAATCCAGTAAAAGATTTAGTCCAAAACACATTAGTACGTCCATAAAGACCCACGGGGGGCTGTTGCATCATTTCAAATTAGCCAGCAGATATGATAACTCGCGATCATATTTCGGGCATAACTTCACGTTCCGTGTCAACAGAGCGGAGATTTTCATCACAAAATGGAGGCTGCATTCCGCCGGTTAGATTGACACCTCATTTGACCCAATAGGAGCTTCTATAGCCCGCCCACAGTCTGGAACAGCCAATGAGAGTCCGCTTTGAAAGACAATGCCCGCCTCTCTTCTTTGGGTAAAGCTCGAGCCAATCGCAACAGATCCAGTTCAAACTCAGGCTCCACATAGCCAATGAAATTACGAAGCCAGGGATATGCAGATTTATCAGATGGCCCTCTGGGAAAGTTTTCAAAACTGAAATTGAAACCGTGACTCAGGTACCTGAGACAGATTATCAAGACCAAAGTCTGGTTCATGAGGATTTTCAAGAATCTGTGAAAGTTGACAATGATTAAATATGATGTAGTTAACCACACGTCAACATAAACAAACTATAGTTTGAATTTTGACGCGGCTGCACTCTCAGTAAACCACGTGTGAAATATTAATTTTCTGTCATATTGTTATCAAATGAGTGAGAAGAGGTTTTAACCTAACCCTACAGTGTGCAGCGTGCTCATCTCCACACAGTAATCCACCGTTTACATTAAGAGCTTAAAGAAGACAAATCACACATGTGTCCTGATTATTAGTTTATTTATTTATTTTGCACAATTTAAACCATAAAATAAAAATGAACAAACATAACAGAGATAAATAATATCACAGAGCAGGAAGAGGAACAAAGCCAACTGGGCTCATTTGAAGCCTCAAACTATAAAATATTAAAATATTACAGGGAACATAACATGAATATGCTTAAGATATGACTATGTAGATTATCATTGACAAGATGTTTTTACATATGATAACAATATCAATACATCATCTCAATGATCACCTGCAGGGCAACGAGAGGCGGAAGTTCTTCTCCATCTTCTACATGTCGATCAACGCCGGCAGCCTTCTGTCCACCATCATCACGCCGATACTGAGAGGTGAGCGTCTCCCTCTTCAATGCTAACGAAGCGGCGAAGAGTTTCAGAACGTTAACGCTGCTCGTTCTCCTGCAGGAGACGTTCAGTGTTTCGGAGGCGACTGCTACGCTCTGGCCTTCGGGGTTCCTGCTGCTCTGATGATGGTGGCTTTATGTGAGTGAGACGTCAGGCATGATGGAAGCTGCATTCTCTCTAGTGTGCACCAGGGGGCGACTCCTCTGGTTGTATA